GGAGCCTGGGAATGGTTTCGATGGTCATTCTGGCGCCTCCGGTGGTCGAGATGGTCTCATCTTGGACATGCCAGATCTCAGTGATGGAGGTTCTTTGCAGGATCCCCGGCAATTGGGGTGCCGAACGATACAATCAACTTTCCTATCGAGCCAGAACCGCACGCATCTTCGTCGGCTTGGGTGCATGTGTCTTCCCTCTCCGACGTGCCAGATTCCCTGGTGGAGCCCCACCCTTCGTTTGCTGGACTGGGTGAGGACTGGGAGTCTGAGTTATTCTCGGGCATGGACTTTAACTTCGACGAGCTCCCGTGCTCATTTACCATGGACTCCATGGACCTGGCCCTCCCGCTGCCTGCAGGCCACTCGTTGGGCCCAGAACCTGCTATTCCATCCTTTGACTTTGCACCCTCGGCCGATTCAACACACAGCTCGAGCACGCGCATTGCCCCGACTCAGCGCAACCCGTCAGCGCGGATCCAGAAGAGCACTACTCCGAAGAAGCGAGCCGTACGGGGACCGTTCAAATCAATGGAAGAGCGCATCGAGACCAGTTTGACGAGGCAAATTGGAGCTTGCATTCGATGCATCAAGCAGAAAGCGCGCGTAAGTTTGTTCTCGTCCTCCAGAATAGCCATGTAGCCGTTCTCTGACCTTGACAATGCGCCAGTGTGTTCGGGACCCCAACGACCTGGAGGGCGAGTGTCTAACCTGCAAGCGTGTCGCAGCTCCACGGCTGGTGCACTACCCATGTCTGCGCAAAAGGTTGACCGACACCTCTTTTGTCCCTGAGAAGTCCGATCCGGGACTCTACTGGACAAGACGATGGACATCAATGCACCTTACCGAGATTGAGGACTGGGCATCATCCGAGATCAAGACGATCGAGTTGACCCAGACCGACAGTTCAATTAGGTGGAATGTCCGGGTGAGACGCTTTATCCCTCAACCAGGTGACACTCTCGCACGAACGTGGCTCTCGAAGCAGACTGGAGTGCGGCGCTATCATCCAGTGACTCCATATGCCCTAGCTTCCATGAAGGAGACCGGTGAGTATCTGTCAGAGGCCCTAGAACGGGATACCGACAAGATCATCGGTGAGTTTGTGGGCATGGAGAGCCCCTGGCTGGCGGAAACGTACAAAATGGCACGCAAACATGCCCAGGACGCCGAGGCAAGTACTCTCTTGTGGTACAGAAGCTGTGCGGTAGGCTGACATGTCGATCATTATCCAAGTCTCGAGAGGAGCGAGACCTACTCCGCGACGTGCTGAAGCTCTGGGTCGTGTCGCGCATACAATCTCGGTCAGAGAGGATCTGCGGCGCCGACACGGTTGGGATCGGACCACAGATGCAGGATGTAGACCGTCACGATTATGGTTATGTCCCATTGCCGCCCGTTATTTCGGCGCAGATCACCATCATTGCAGAGGTTATGTTCTTCCGGCCGCTGCAGAGTCAGATCAGGAAACGGCTAGACAAGCTCATCGGAGCTAAGAACCCGGGTGCTTGGTTTACAGTTTACTTGGTTTGCATGCTTCTACTACACAACTGCGCTCTCATCACCGAGAACTATTTCAGAAAGGCCAGAAATCTCCGCTTGAGTGTAAGTAAACAGGCGTGAGCTACCCAAGAACGCTCACAAACGCTGCGCTGACATGCTACAAAAGCAACGATATGCGGCGGCCGATGCGATCAGCGACCTTCATGGGAGCGCAAACATTCTGCTGACCTACTATCACTGTCGTGTCAAGGGCAATGTCCCCTTCGCAGCGGGATGGAAGTCGGCCCGCGATGTCCAGGCCGCCAAGTTGAGCAAAGAGCAGGTGGAGTTTCTGGTTTGGTCAAACCAGCAGTCACGGACCATGAGCAAGTACCATCAGAACACCTTCAACTATTCCTTCAACTCTTCCTTCGACACTTCTGTTGAGTGACTGAGCGAGCACCTTTTTTCTCGGTGGTCGATTCCGGTTACAGCACATCTCGTGGATCGCTTTGCTGACCGATAATCAACGGGACTGCAATAGCCCCGGTGTTCCACGAAATTCGAGACAAGAACATGTTTCACCATGAGTACTATTTCATTTCCCAGCTGTTTGACGACCAGTGGACTATACCATCAGCAACGATTGCTTCGGTCCAGAGATAAACCCCACTGGGTGCGAGGAAAGCAAAGGAGAGCAGAAAAAAAGGAAGAAAACAAAAAGCCGAAGATACGACCCCTTATTTGGAAGGACGGAGGGAAGCTAGCAAGTAATCAGCGCCAGATACAGAGAGGTCACTAATACAATCCCAAAATATGAGCCCAATGCCTGTCCTCGCCGGTCCAACCCCTCCGTCCCCGTCTAGCCAGGCCTGAGATAACGTGATATCCCGCTCCAGCGCGTCATCGTCATCGTAAAAGACCTTTGTCGTGGCTCATGCGGAAGATGGCAGGGAACGTTGCAGATCACATCCGCGCCGCACCTTTTGGTGGACATGAAAACTCGGCCGCTACTCCAAGAGGTTGCCCAAGTCCTGGAGCAGGAAGAACGCTTGCTCTTGGGAGAGTAAGAAAGCGGGAATGAGGCTCACGCAGAGCAGCACGGGGAACTTAGGAGTAATGGGAATGGGCCAGTTTGGACCAGGACTGGCATTCTGAGCACCATTCGTGATCGAGGTAGAGACCGATCGGTTTGCTCTTGCTCCTCTAGTGTTACTGATTCACGAAACGATGGGATGGATGGTGGGGTGATGGGGAAGACGGGATTCGCAGCTCTTCCCTGGGGTTTGTCGCCGATAATTGCTTCGCCATAGCCATGGAAGTGAATGTCACAAACGTCAATTCCCAGTGGCGGAAGTGAGGAAGTAGCCGCTCATAGTGACCGATGCAGGGTATGCTCATAATACGAAGCGACGTTTATTACAAAGATTCAGGAAAACTCTGTGAACATGAACTCAGCAGTCTTCGTGGTACGAATAATCAGACTTCAATCCAGCTACCTCCCTTGCTCTCCTCACCAACCCCATCAACCCTGCGCCCCCTGGTCTTACCCCTTAATAAGGGCTGACCCACGGCCTGCACTTGTTCGCCGCGCAGAACCCGGAGCAGCACGGGCCGACGTACTGGCCGTTGCGGTAGCAGTCGCTGTACGTGGGCACGCACATGCCCTGGCAGCTGACGCCCGTGATCGGGGTCGGCGGGCCGACCATGATCTGGTTGACGCCCGCCGGCGAGATGCTGCTGGCGAGCGTGGCCTCGCCCTGGTGGTGGAACTGGCACTGGTAGAAGGCGTTGTAGTCGGGCGCGTCGATGATGTTGACGGCGATGTTGTTGTCTGTGGCACGGATATGTCAGGATATAGGGGAAAGGGACAGGGAGGGGGGGCTCACTGGTTGGGTAGACGACGCCGTCGGCGGGGATGGCGAGCGAGTACTCGGCCGGGCCACCATGGAAGGTAAGGTGGACGGTTTGCGCGTCGCGCTCCTCAAGGGGAATGGCAGAGGCACTGGCCAGGAGGCCGAGGGCCGAGGCGAGGGCGGTGAGATACTTCATGGTGTAAGTGGGTAGTGTTAGGACTAAGCGAGTGTGATGTTGCAATCGGAGGATGAGATGTCAACGATTGTCTCAGAACTCAACTCTCATCAACCTGGAGTCAAGCAACCCTTTTATACACCCCAGATCAGCATAACATGACCCTCTGCTGCCTGCACCAGGCCTCCCGCTTCTTTCGTGGCAAACTAGGCCTCCCGCGGTAAGCCTGGCCATGCATACATCACCGGCTCTTAATTTGGCCATCCACGATGTCACGCTGTTTTTGGCGACGGGTGTGCTACACCAGGGGAATACGAAGTCGAGGCTTGGCACCCGCAGCGTGGCGTTGGGGACGGCAGAGCAGCTGACCCTGGCGAGCCTGGATCAACAGCGGAGGGTCAGGCCACGCCTGATGTGATTTGATGGAAGGCTCTGCAGCTCCCGCCAGTCGCGGGATACAACCCTGTCTCCAGCCCTGCCACTGGACCGAGGTTGCATTGCGGCGGGAGGAAGTGCCCGGCCATTGAAGAAGTGCGGGACATGCCCCCCTTGCGAGAAGGGAAAAAGCGGGCATTTCAGAGCTGGATGGATTCTGTGGGATTTGTCGATCATGGGCAGATTGAACAATCACAGACAGCGCCAGAGGAAACGAGTTGTGCATTGGAGTATGGAATGTAACGGAGCAATTAATATGCGCTTCAGCTCACTCAGATTCCTCCTTCACCGACTCGCTGTTAGCCCAATCAGTTCCGCAGAAATGACATAAGATATGGCGATGGGATACTGGAGCAAACGTCATAAGCCAGTCTCTTTCAGTTGTTGGCGGCTGGTTCTTGCAGTCACAAGACGATTTGTAAGTTGCTCACGCTATTTCCAAAACGGGCATTGAAACGTATTCGTACAGATCATATAGTAAAAATAGAATGACGGGTCATTGAGCTCTGATATACACCCAAAAACACATTAGGGAATAGCATGTGCTACCCGGAGAGGGATCTCCGGTCCTCGCGTGCCGGCGTTGTTTGCAGCCATGATCGACTCGCACATGGACGGGAGTCACTCCCAGAATTCGACGCTCAGGATTCTCCTCCCTTGCCATGGGACCCGAGATTCACTTTTATCTCCCTGTTTTCAGGCCTCTCACAGCCCTCAGGTTGTGGATGGCATCTTACATCCATAGCATCCCTCCCAGCACGCATGATTCCTTTCGCCCCATCAACCGTTAGCCTCAACAAGACAGTTCACCCATCATCGTTCGAGGGGAGGGCACATCCATACTGGCTTCTTACCTTGATGCCTGGCCCTCATCCCTCACCGTCACCACCTTCGCTAACTCCAGAATTTGGCCCTGGCCAGATGGTAGTATCTCAAAATGGGCCGGCGTACCCAGCCCCAAACCCCTCATAAAGACATCCATAACAGATCCTCAAACAGCACCGGTACAATACGACATTTGGCAACATATGTAGGTGGAAAAAAACAAAAGATGATGGGCGACCCCGGAATCGAACCGGGGTTTCTTCGGATCGTGTATGGAACCCGCTGGGGAACCACAACGAAGCGTCCTGACCACTAGACTAGTCACCCGTGGAACTTGATGGGTGGGGGTCGGTGGATTTGCCGCTTTTCAGGGACCGGCGGGCAGATTGGACACCCTCGATGTCAAAGTCATTTAGCAGCCTGCCGTGTAAGAGGAGTCCAAGGGGTGTATGGTATTTAGTTAATTCGAAATCAAAGTAAGGTAGGCAGGACTGTGAATTCCGTTCCCGTCTGAGCTGTCTGCACTCAACTTCCCGCAGCAATGCAGGGGCGATGGACTGGTTGCATGACTGCTAACGCTACGGGTTAACAAACGTTTTGCTTTAGTTTTCCTGAGCCTACGTTCCGTGGAATGGTATCCGCCGAGGTATTGTGCCACTGCATGGTATATTAGAAGTCTCTTATAAAAGGTTGGGAGCCGGTGTGTTGAAGGGTTCAAAGGCAAGGGGTGCGCCATCGTGATGTTGACTATAAGGGCCTTCACGCAAGGTGTGTTGAACACCTTACTCTCCTTTCCGCACCAAGCCGTATGTACAAAACGGATTCTCAGCGACAATTGAGTATCCTGTGCATATCTTACACTCTACCTCTTTTTCCGCAAATCCCGAAACATCTGATAGTACAGCACCATAAAAAAACGAAGGAAAAAGGAAAACCAGCAAGAAGAATGAAGTAAAGGCTCGAGCGACAGACTGAGAGGGTTTTACATATCTGCCGTGCTCTCAAGAGAATGATAATTAGATCTTCGAGGACTGCGGGTTTTTCAACTGGCTGAGTCCCGTCGAGGCCAATGTTTCGGTCAAGTGCCCTGTCGACTTGCTGTTGAGCTGACCGATCAAGACGTCCTCCGCGAGACATCTGCGGGCCTCATCGGAAGCTCCAAATCCACCAAGCCGCCGAAATCCCACAGCTGGTTATCTCCGTCTGCCAACGTTTCTCCTGCGTCGGCAGCTGGCTCCTGCTGCAGAAGCTCCAACCAGTCGCGGGCTGAGCTTCTTTGCTGGTCCATTGTGTTGAGGAGAAGGGCGTCCCCTTGGGTCGGCACGAACTGACCAGTCTGCTCAATGTGGGCGGCGATGGCGCCTGTTGTCCCCAGGTCTGTCATGTCGTCGTCTCCTGGGAGTCCACCCTGCGGATTCCATCGCGACATGGTCTCCGCCGCTGGGTTCGGTGGTGCGGAGCCACTGATTATATGATGTTGGAGACTCGATACGGGGTAAAGAATGGGAAAGTCGGGGTGTTCTTCGTTGGCCGTCGGAGACACCGCAGGCTGGTAGGACTGATGTGTTGAGAAAGGAAACAGATTTGGTGGCCTTGGACGGTTGGGAAGGCCGGCTAGCTTCCAAAACGGTGGGCTGTTTGGGTCTTGTCCTGCATTCACTGATGCTGGATGTATTAGCAAACACACTAGGCTTGAAAACTTTGCTCAAACTCTTCGTACTCGCAGGCCCGGAGACATTGTGAATCTGACCACCTGCTCCAATAGAACTATGGGGATTTGAGTAGGTCGCCCATGGCTGAACTGTACCCTGCCCATCTGTCGAGGGCCATGGTGTATCGACTGTGCGTTTGTCTGGGGAGACCCCTTTGCGACTTCGGCGAGTGCGATACATTGCGTCTTTCGTAAAATGGATACGTTAGCTGACGGGGGCATTTTCGAAGCAAGAATCATCAACTCGTGTAAGTGGTATACCTTAAAAAAAAAGGAAAATGTAATTTTAAGCCGCAACAATATCCCGAACTTAGAGCCTCAAAGTGCACAAGCCCATGAATGGCCACAAAAAAACCAACGGAAGTCCACATGTGCTATTTGTCAATAAACCGTCAGCACCCGACGTTGTACCTTGTACGATGGCCGGTGTGCAACATGATTGGGGCATCTGATTGCAAAATTTCTCTCCTTTTATACTGAAATCTGAGGTCAGCTGCGAAGGTTAAATTCTTTGTTCGGCATGCAGAGCGGGGGGCAAGGCTCGCGGGCTACGCCCAGCTGTGGTGTCGTTTGCCCCTGATCATACGAAACGAGGCTTTTCTCGGCGGAAAGGCTGAGGCATTTCGGAACTCAACACGTAAGCGATCTCCGAAGCCATCTTCATGTGACGGTGACATTCGTTTGAAATTTGACGAGTCGTTGACGAATCTGAAGATCCTTGGTTTCAGAATATTGGGTCAGGTGTCAAACGGCTGAATCACCGCTTGTCCATGGCACCATGTGAGATGCTGATGTGAAAAAGGGAACATTCCAGAGAGGCATGGCCGATGAAGTGTTGAAAACGGATTCCCACGACGGCAGAAATCAACGAAACATCCCGAGATTTTGCACTCGACTTCCCTATCGGGTGTTTAGGTGTTTGAGGTTCGGCGCAAAGTGAAAGTCGCCGGGTGCCGCTTGTAATTTCCGAGCACACAGGACAGCGAGTGTTCGCTTCGTGATACGAGAGAGCGAGTCCAGCCTCGAACATGCAAATCGGCTTCATTTCATTTCATTTCTTAGATATCACGAACACTCACGGCTTCACCTTCTCGGCGCAAACCTCGAGCGCCCCAAACGCCTCCTTCAGCTCCGGCACCTCGAGCATCCCCTTCAGATACGCCTCCACGTTCGGCAGCCCCTTGAGCATCTCCTGGTCCATCACGAACTTGGCCGCCACCTGCAGCACGCCGACAACCATCACATCCGCCAGCGTCAGCTGCTCGCCGACCAAGAACTTCTTGCCGCCCTCCAACGCGGCCTCGACCCTCTTCGCCGCCCGCTCGAACCCGGCCACGCACTGCCCGAACCGCGCCTCGTCGTAGGGATACATCTTGAACACGCACATGAGCATGGGCGGGAGCATGTTGCTGGAAAGCTCCTGTTCGGCAAAGCACGACCACTGCTCGACGAGGGCGCGCGTCTTGACGTCCTCGCCGAGGAGCTGGGCGGCCTTGGGCCCGCTCTCGGCGGCGTAGCGCGCGATGGCCTGGCCCTCGGTCAGGTGGAGGGTGCCGTCGGCCGACTCGAAGGCCGGGACCTTGCCGAGCGGGAACTTGGCGAGGAACTCGGGGGTGCGGTTGGTCACGCCCATTTGGAAGGCCGAGTCCAGCTCAATGGTGGTGCCGTTGAGGGCAGCGAGTGCTTGGGCCTGGGAGGAGGGTTAGGGTCTGGAGGTTGTGTAGGGGGGAGGAGAAGAGGGCCGATAGAAGGGGACGAGAGAAGGGAGGGGTGTGGGGTTTGGTTGCTTACCCGCTGGACGCGGTAGTTGTTGGGGTAGCTGTAGATCTTGCCGAGAGACGCCATGGTGACTGTGGACTGTGGGGTGAGGGATCGGGGCTGGGTGTGTTGAGAGTTGTGGATTGCGTGCTTTATGAGGGAGATGACAACAGCGGACTGGAGACTAAAGACACAAACAAGGGACACCAAAAAGAAACACGGACAAAACTGCCTCTTAAATACCGATGGTCAGCCCCTGAAACGGCTGCCACCATCTGCCCACCCCCTCCCCGTCCCGCAGAACACAAGAGAACACCTACGAGGCTCCACTCGGGCACAATACAGCTCGTCACTCGTGCGTCGTCCCTCTGACGCTTCGGGAAAGACAGAACAGCCAACCAGACAGAACCTCCGCCGTCCCCTGAAAAGAACGGCCTCCCTTACCAATCGCCCGTGTCACAGCGGTCTGCAACCACAACCCACTGCAACCCCCCCTCGAGCCCTCCGCACCCCGCTTCGTTGCATGGAGATTTGCGACGGAAGGGAGTGGATCATCAGGGGCACCGAATTTGGCAAATGCCGGGAGCCGGAGGTGGTACATGTAAGCGTCTTACAAATCAAGCACCCCGACCTGTGCCCCTGGCCCCTGTCGCGGGAGAAACAAAAGAGCCGCAAAACCCAAACCCAAGCCCCACCCACCACAACGAAAACCAAGAGCGGAAAAAAGGTAAAAAGAAAAAAAATATCGCCAAAAACGAACACACTCATCCGTCTTCCGGATGCTTGCTTTGGACGAGCTGGGAATCGAACCCAGGACCTTTCGCATACAGGGTGGGTATGCTAAGCGAACGCTCTACCAACTGAGCCACACGCCCTTGGTGATGTTGTTGTTGAAGACTGCCGTCCGGGAGGACGCTTCTTGACGATGGCGGCGTCGTCTTCGTCGCCCCCAGTTGGAACAGGAGAATGGATGGTATACACAGGTTGATAATGAACAACACGCCATATCTACACCCAACACTGACCACGGTATATGATGCAACATGCAACCCTCCAACCCCAACACCAACACCATCACCAAACCCATCACCAAATCCGGTCCCCATCTCCGATCGCATCGCCCACCCGTAATCACACACCCACACACACACACCACAAACACAACCCCTCTCCTGCACCCTCCCACCCTCTCAACCCCACCTTCCTGCCGCTCTCCCCCCATTCTCACTGACTAACCCCCTCCTCGCCCTCCCGCCCCGCGACACAAACAGGACACCCCCCGGCAACCCTCTCCCTCAACAACCTCGCATGCGTGACCTTGGCCCCGATGAGATGCGCCGACGCAAACCTGCCCTCTTCCCCCGCCCTCACGCCATGCAGCACCAGCCTGTCGGGCTCCTCGCCCGGGTGCAGCCGCTCCAGCAGGTGGGACAAGTGGAACACGTGCCCGCAGGCGAAGCCGACGAGGGTCTCGACTTCCCACTCGGTGAAGGGCGCGGCGCAGTGGGCGCAGTGGCCGGGGGCGTCGTATTTCTTGGCTGCTCTGGTGGTGTCGAATGATGGGGGATGGGGGGTTGGGGCGTCGCCGTTGGCGGGGGGCTTTTCCGTGTGCGCGGGGGTGGGTTGTTGTTGGTGATGGGGGTGGTGCGGTGCGTGTGATGAAGCTGAGGGGTGGTTGTCTTTTGAGGGCGCGTTGGGTGTGGTGTGATCGGCCTTGGGAACGACTTCAAACTTGACGCCTTTCCGCTGGCCGCTGCGCAACAAGGCCTGGGCAGCTGCCACCTCGCTCCGCAGCACGCGCGCCACGCCCTCGCAAATGCTGAACTGGATTTCGTGCTCCTTCATGATGTGCTTCAGC